TGATAGGAAACTACTTTTTATTTAATATTTTTAGTCTTTATTTACTCTTTTAAATATCCACTGGTAGGTCTGATAAACTTAATATTTTGCTCTATGGGAATTTTTGTTGAAATTTGCTTTTCAATGCTCCAAATATACTTCAATTATTATGATGGATCCATAAAATGCAAATGTATTCTTCTTAGCAGAAGGTCAATGAAAAGAAGTTTTAAAATATTTAAAATCTGGGTTAGGATATGTTAACACTTAAACTAAATTCACATTTTTTTTAGACTCTGCTAACACTAATGATGGTTTTAAAACAGCAATCTCAATTACTGTAAGCTGTTTCTCATGAGGCCAGCTGCAAGGAGTGGATTTGATTACCTATATACATTCTATGTGGTCAGAAACTTAATGCTGAGACTCAGCAGGAAAGAAACAAGTCTGAAGAGTGAATTGACTCATAGTGTGATTTATAATAAAGGGAACCTTTTCTAAGAAATTTTATCTGAGAGTTAAGATCTCCTTTGAGATTTTTCACCATCAGCTCAGCATGGTGCTATTATTTTGTTATTGAGACACTTAAACTTTTGTTTTTCTTACCCCTTACAGAGGAATCAATAGTCTAAAATTAGAGCAGAGAGTAGCAGCTCTTGAGTGTAATCTGGGTTTAGTACAGACTACTTCAAAGATTGCTGCCAGCAGCTTATCAGCCATGTATTAAACTTCATGTGCACTCATTGAATGGTTTTTTTAGGAAAACAATTAAAACACAGGTGTCAGGTTTTAATAAAATATAAAGGTTCTTATAAAACATTGTACACTTTTTCCTGTTATCAATGATGTGTTATTGTAGAGACATTTGGGGATGTCTACCAAACTCATCATATTTTCTCCTCTATATAAACTAGTGTCTCCTTACGTTATCCTTGAAGTTGGGGGTTAACAACCATTTTTATATTGTACAAACTTTACCCCTGCCTTTCCTTTGCCATTGACGACTGATGAGTGGTAGATTCTAGATCTAATTTTCAATGACTTACTCACTGTACTCAGAAGTGACTAGCTAATACACCTGACAAGTCTGGCTAATCACAATTCTCCCACTTGAGCATCTGGATTAGGATTGAGATTGACAGCTAGTCAGTATCTATTGATTATTAAAGTTGGATATGTAAATGTGACTACCCTAGGATGGCCATATTTGTCAAGATACACTGATCAGAAAAGCCACAAAATAAAATCTGCAGATAAAAATGGAAAGAACAGATAATCCAAGAAAACAGAGATGAGAGGGGAGAAAGATTCCTGGTAGTTTTCTAGTTCCTTGACCCAGACCATTCTTGAGGTCTGATGGCATTGCTATTACTGGACCTCATTAACCTACACTCACATAACTTCAGCAGCTCTGATTTTTTAAAAAATAATATTTCACTAAAAGAGGTTCCAAGTGATTCTGCTGTTTGCAATCAATAATGCCAAATTTATTCACAAAAGTAGGAAAATATCTATGATTTTATTAGATCTACAGCTTCAGATATTATTGAGGAATTAATATATCATGGAATTTTTTATGTTACCTTTTATTGAATGCCTATAATATTCTAGATACCTATGCATTCTTATAAGTGCTTATGAATATTTATTTCTAATCATCAATACAGTCTTGAGAAGTTGAAATGATTATCCTCATTATATAGAATAGATAAGAAATACAAATGGTCAAAAATATATGAAAATATGTTAACATCTCTGGCAATTAGAGAAATGCAAATTAAAAATACACTGAGATTTTATCTCACTCCAGTCAGAATGGCAATTATTAGAATGCAAGTAACAATAAATGTTGGCAAAGATGTGGAGTAAAAGGTTCACGTACATATTGCTGGTGGGACTACAAATTGGAGCAACCACTCTGAAAAGAACTATGAAGCTTCCTCAAAAAAACTTGGAATGGAACCACCATTTGACCCAGTTATCCCTTTCCTTGGCTTATACCCAAAGGACTTAAAATCAGCATACTACAGTGACACAGACACATCCATGTTTATAGCTCAACTATGGAACCAACCTATCCTTCAACAAATGAATGGATAAAGAAAGTGTGGTGTACACACACACATACACACACACAAACTGGAATTATTCAGACATAAAGAGGAATGAAATTATGGCATTTGCCAGGAAATGAATGGAACTGAAGACTATCATGCTAAGTGAAGTAAGCCAGCCCAAAAAATCAAAGGCCAAATGTTTCCTCTGATATGTGGATGCTAACATATAATGGGGAGGTTTGGGAGGAGAAATATATAAGTTTATTGGATTAGACAAAGGGAAATAAAGGAAAGGGAGGGGGATAGGAATAGAAAAGACAGTAGAATGAACCTGACATAACTTTCCTATGTTCATATAGAATACAGGACCAGTGAAACTCCACATCATGAACATCCACAAGAATGGGATCCAAATTGGAATGGGCTGTACTCCATAAATGTATAATATGTCAAAATGTTCTCCACTGTCATGTTTATAAAAAAAAAAACAAATGAAAAATAAGAGATACCTAAGTCTCAGTGTGTTTATAAAATGACACAATAATGAATCAAAATCCTGGGATGCTACTTTCCACTTCAGAAGTGCACATCCTGTCCATATAGCAACACTGCAGACTTTTCTGCAGGGAAAGTTTCTTCATTTAACAGGATCTCAAACCAAACTTCAACTCCCCTTGTACTTTTCATTCTAATAAATAATCCCTTCAGTTTAACCCAAGTGTTCATTTCAAACACCTTATCACCATGAAACCATTGTAAAACAATTGATCCTTCACTGTGCTTTCTTCTGCACATCCTGCCTCTAGTCTACCACCAAATCCTAACAGACCGTTTTCACAGGATGCTTAGAATCAGATCTCTTCTCCTGCCCTCCAAGCCACTGTTCTGCCAGCGGGTGATACCACAAATAATTACAATGCTCTGTTTCCACACCTGTACCCATCCCCATCCTCAGATTCCATTGTTGTAGGCAGAACAAACCTTTTAACATGTGAATCTGGTCATGTGACTGTCCTGCTCAAAACCCCCACTTAGCCCCCCCTTGGACCTTATTTACCTTCTCTTCTGACACATTCCGCTCCAGCTCTAACCTCCATGTTGCTGACCGCAAATTTCAAGCAAGTTCGATATCAGGACCTTTACAATTGCTCTTTCTTCTGACAGGGAGACTGCTTACAGAGGAAGTCCCTCAGCCTAGACACTGCTTCACAGAGGACTCAAAAGTCCCTACTTCAGAGATCTTCTGAATTTTCCCATTCAGAATATAACCTTCTTTACCCATGTTTTCAGAATATACATGTGCCTTTATAGTTCCCTCTTATATGCCTCATATTCCAGTGATTCATTTATTATCAGTTGGATTATGGACGACAATTCTGTTTCACCAGTCTTGCTCTTTTGAAGGGCCATATATGCCATATAAACCCTTTGATTAAAAACAGTATTGACTGCTGTTAACTGAAAAGTTTTTTCTCATTTTTAATTTTTAATAAAAAGATCTGTTTAAACCAGTAATTGGAGGACAAAAACACCTTAGTGGCAATATACTCAAAAACTGTGGAGCTAAATTGTTCCCCAGAGATGAAAAGTGACATCACCATACCTGTGGGGACTTAATTCATTCATTTGACAAATACATAGTATTTGCAAAATACTATGTCTCAGGTAAGAGGTAGAAGAACAAAGACTGATTCTTATGTTTTCAGACTTGTGGGCTTGTTTATAGGGTAGGATAAATTTTCAGCGTCTGATTTTGCAAATTTAAGCTTGCGGAAGATTTTAAATATTGATGCATGATTACAAAAGATACTATAGATAAACACATTTCATCTGTTACAGTAACAATGGAATTTTATAGTTGATTTTGCTTCACTCTTGTATATATCAGTTAATGTTTTACATTCAAACAATAGCATCATCCTTAAAAACTAACAAATGCTAAACAGTGTATTCTTGGTGGCACTGATCAACCATATTCACTTTATTTTCTGATTAAGCTTTGACTGGTTATTAGCCAGTCCATGAAATATGTATGTTTTGAGTACTCATCACATGAAAGTAACTGTCCTTGAAGAGTTTATAGTTAATGAATAATAATTCAAGGAAGACATTTATGAGGTCAGCATGGTAGTGGGTGGTTTCCTGAAACTCATATCAGATGACAGGTATACTGGAGATGTTAGAGGCAGAAGAAGCTTCTTTTTAAAACGGTGATCTGTTTGCATCAACTCAGTTTAAGATTTATAGTGGACTTCCTGGGACTACACAAGCTTAGAAATTAGATAGGAAACTCCCTTTTTCAAGTGCCACCGTCTACCAGGAGAAATGGGCAAAGAGTATAATACCAATGTGACAAGAAGATTACTAATGACCTGAACTAATTATTAAAGGGTGTTCAGACACAAAATGTGACCTAGAGATATAGTGGATGAGATGTAGGGGAAACTCACTATGTTTCCTCTGTCTATTCTATATTTTTTTGATTTGTATGCCCATTCCATATCTTTGAAATAAAGAAAGAGGAAGGGTATGCAAATGAAAGCCCAGCCACATGGTCTTACATTATTAACAAAATTTATAACATAATCACGTTACATTTGTCAAGTATTTCTGAAATTTATGCTAATAATTATCATGAACCAGGAGAATTCTCTGAATATATAATGATTCATATTATATTTATAATTATTTTCCATTTGAAATCTGACCAAACCTTCTAAAGATAAGAAAACCTCAGGATAGTTTGATTCTTAAAATTCAAGCTGGTGAACTGTCATTAACTACAATGATCATACCTGTAAAATGAGAGCTTCTCCTCAAAACGCTTTCATTGAAATGCACTGCTTAAATTCTTTTGCAAATGACATGACCTCTTGTGTTCATAGCATGTGCATGTTTTGGAGGCTTAGCTAGTTAACCAAACAAATGAACTCCTCCTCACTACCCATTCTCAAGGGTACTTACATATTCTTCATAAGCCTCATGGGCTGGAGGAGGGGGTGCTCTGTATCCTGGCACTGTTGGTGCCCCCCTGGCTCGAGGGGCGGGGACGCCTCTTGCTACCGGGGGCACAGGAAGAGCTCCGCGGGTCACGGTGGTCCCACGAGGTGTGAGAACACCTCGTCCAGGTGGTGGGGGAGGAGGAATGGCACCCCCGCGGCCCCTAGGAAAAACAGATAAAATGCAGATAAGGAAAGGTGAAGGGAGAGAAGGACAACAACAGACATCAGTTCTCATCTCAGGGCCTCCACTGGATGTGAGCATCCAAAATTTATCTTTCTTTTTGTGTGTGTGTGTGTGTGTGTGTGTGTGTGTGTGTGTGTGTGTGTGTGTGTGTGCGCGCGCGCGCGTGTGCGCGTGCTTAACAGAAGCGGGTCTTGGCCTCCAGAGTAAAACATATCCTATAAATACTAAGACTTAGTTCTCATGCAAAACACTTTGATACAGTCTACTAAAAAAAAAAAAGGCCAAAAGGAAAAACAGGAAACAAAAGCCCATTGTGTTTATATTCTTTTTTTTCCCTGTGTTCATATATATATTTATTTATTTTGTCTTTTTTATTTGTTCTTTTTAATTATATCAGATGATGGGTATACTGGAGAGGTTAGAGGCAGTAGAATCTATTTTGATATGCTTATACAAATATGAAGTGTATCTTATTCTAATTAGGATCCCTGTCTTGTGGATACACATGATGTGGAGATTCACTATGGTGTATTCACCTAAGAACACAGGAAAGTTATATCTGATTCATTCCATTGTCTTTCCTATTCCTTTTCCTCTCCCTTCCCTTCATTCCCCTTTGTCTAATCCTTTGAACTTCTATTCTCCCCTGGCCCTTGTTGTGTGTTGGTATCCACATAACAGAACATTCACCTTCTGATTTTGGGGGGATTGGTTTATTTCACTAGAACACCCAGATCAGAGCACCACCTAATGTATGGCTCCCTGGACCATCTATAAAACTGAGCTGCTGTATGTCTCTGTCTCCTCCATGTGGGGTTATTGATAGTGGTATGCAATGTTGCCATTTGCAAAAATATGATCTGTCTGCACTTTAATAAATTGTGGAACTTGAGGCATAGTGATATCATCCTGCTGACTATAGTAGCTTAAATTTGAGGTCACTTGAAATCACGACTCACTGTCACTGATTTATTACCAGGCATGTTACCCATGAGTTGGTGCAATCACTGACATCATATATTTTCATATAGTAACCGTGGTGCTAGTGAAATACATTAGTATTCTGCAACAAAGAGAGTAGATTGAATACTCTGTACTGCAATTCTTGACACAAAAGTAACCTGCACTAAAAGTGTAAGATCAAATGGTTGCAGCCAAGTCCTTCAATATTCTGAGACCTTTAGAAAGGTTGAGTGTTTGTCTGAAATCTTTGGGCAAATGCACGGTTATTTCACTTTTTATTATGTCTGAAAGACTGGCCTTCCGAAAGCACTGCTTTCAGCAGAAGCACTAAAGCTTTGGAAAAATGATGATCACTGGGACGTCAACAATCACACCGTCTGGCTTCACCTCCATATGGAGACGCAGGTTATGCTTTCTGCTATGAATAGCAGTCGGCTGGCTCTTTCTTGCTTACAGAAAATTAGCTTTTAGAAGTGAAGAGTAAGAATGCTGGAAAAGCTTTTAAAATTTTTACATAGATTATAGAGCTGATGAATAGACAACCTATCAGAGAGCTTATTGTGAACTAATGCATATAGAATACTCTCTTAGATTGGGAGGAAGGTGAAATACAAAAGACCCAGAGGCCCGGTGCTGATTTCAAATATGAAAACAGTGGAGGATACAACATTCTATATTATCATCATAATATAAAAACACTTCTGTAAAGAAAGATATACATATCAAGTTTACTTTCACGGGGCCTCCAAGCATCTGTTTCTTCATAAGCAAGATGAATGTATGTCCTGGCTTTCTAACTGTTATCCTAGCTTCCTGTTCAGGTTAGCATTTTAATTTTCTCATCAGTGTCCACGTGTTGTAACAAACCACATGGTTCTGGCTATGCCACTGAATAATCATGAGTGAGTATTTTAATTACTAAGGCCTGAAGTTTTTTTTTTTTTTCAAATGAGTAAACTGCAGATATCTGAATCTATAATCACTCTTCTTGCTCTAAAATAATGCAATGTTCATGTCCAAATCTAATTTTTTATTTCATTCCTTCATGAACTGACTCACAGATGCAGCCCTAGTAATCCTTTCTCCTGAATCTGACTCATTCCCTCCTCTACAGTATGGCTTTCCCTGGAATGTTAAGTCTCCTTGCTCCCTCCTATTCAACTCAAGAATCAATCGCCTATTTTAGGATAACACCCTGAGCCAAACTGACACCACAGTATTCTTTCCTTTATTTTGCTGACTTCTTGAAAGAAAATTTTCCATGTTTAATTCTCTACTTTCTGCTCATGCCTGAGCTGAATGCAATCCATCTAGTGTGTGTTTTCCCTATGCTGTGAAAACACTGTTGGCTAAGATGCCAAGACCTCAACCCACTGATTTCCAGCTCCACTGGGCTTTTCCCTGGTTACCATGACACTGTGCCTCTTATTGTGTTTTGAGATTGTGAACCATGACTTGGAAAATGTTTATTTGAGCTTTTTTTTTTTTTTTTCTCTGCTCATGGCATGATCTTTTTTTTTTATTATTAGTTGTTCAAAACATTTCAAAGCTCTTGACATATCATATTTCATACATTTGATTCAAGCGGATTATGAACTCCTCTTCCTTTTACTTTACTACTCCTTAGCCTCCTCACAAATTTCTATTCAGGGGCCCTCACTGGAATATGGGTGTTCCCAATTTCTGTGTTCATTCTTCTTTCTTCTCCTATGGTTAAACCCTGCAGTCCATAATTCTAGCCATGGTTATTTTCTCCCTATCATAATACTGTGTCCTACCTTACGTTCCCGATATCAGAATTTCTATAACTTCTATGCATATTAGGGTTACTTGAAGGTCTTCAAAATATTCCAAATTTCCCATGGCCAGGTAAATCATAGTCTCTGGAGGCAAGAAGCTGCCAATAATTCCAATGTACAGACTATTTTGGAACACACTGCCCTAATATGCATCACCTAATTTAAATATCTTGACAAACTTGTTATGTAAGCAGTTCATAGCTATTTTAAAAATTGAGAAAGCAAAGAAAAAAGAGGATGAATCACTTGTCCAAGTCACACTAGTCATTCATATGTCTTGGATTAATTACAGGAATAATTATATTCTTCTTTTAACTTGACTTTTCACCTAATCTCAGTTGATAATAGCATATACCTCTTACCAGGTCAGATACCAGAGAATTATTTTTGTCTAGGACCATCCTCCTTCTCTAACATCTAAGTGGCATTAGTTCCTATAAATCTGAGTCTCTGTTCTGGCTCTATCTCACTATACTCCAAGTGCTGTTCATTTCTTTCTGTCTTAGAAAATGGACTTGTGTTCATTGGCTTTCCTGCCATGAGTCTACATTTTCTTTGTGTCTGTCACTCTGTTTCTCTCTCTTCCAATCGCTCCAATGTTCATTATCTATAGTGATAACTGAGTAGTCTCTTCTAAGTATAATTATTCTTTCTTTTTAAAGACTCCATTAGGTTACTCAGGAGGCCAATGAAGGAGGACTGCAAGTTCTAGGCCAGCCTGCACAACTTGGTGAGACCCTATCTCAAAATACAATGTAAACAAAGGCTGTCGATGTAGCTGAGTGGCAGAGTACCACTTGGTTGAACCCCCAGTTCCACACCCAACCACACACAATATTTTAATTTTCACTGTAGTAAACAAAGCCTTCTGAATCTCATTTTCTACTGCTTGGTTTCAATGCAACATGTTCTACTGAGACATGTTAAAATTTTCATCCTTCATTTATATAAAATAAGCTATCATTGTGATAATATAAGTATGTAATGTTTTATACTTTTGTATGCATTATTATAGGAAGATTAGTTATCATAGATATATTTATTAAATATAAATTCCTTTAATTAAATATACCTTCAGCAAATTGTTTTTGAAGTTTTAAAATATTTCAGACAATTCTCAAAATACTAGGGATAGAACCACTATATGACCCAGTTATTCCACTCCTTGGTATATATCCAGATTATTTAAAATCAACATACTACAATGACACAACCACCTCAATATTCATAACATAACAACAGCCAATATACAATGATATGTTTAGTGATATATATAGTTTTATTCAGTCATAAAGAAGAATGAAATTGCCATTTGCAGGAAAATGGACAGAACTCAAGAACATTATATTAAATGAAATAAACCAAACTCAGAAAGTCAAGTGTCATATGTGGAAACTAGAAATGAAAAGGAAGAGAAAGGTTGGTGGGAAGATCTCATGAAAATCAAAGGGAGATCAGTATAGTAAAGGAAAGGAAACTAGGGGTGGGAGGTGGGGAGGAAAAGGGGAAATACTTAGGCATGATATTGGCCAAATTATATTGTTATCTCATGTGTACTGTGACTATATATCAATAAATCCCACCATTATTAATGATTATAATATACAATAAAAATATAGAAAAAATGGTGGTATTTTGGCAGTGGTAGCTGAAAATATTTGCGGTACAATTTAAGAAAGAAATCTGTGGACTATCTTAGTATCTCTTAAGATAATTTTCATGTGATATACACAATATTATTCTAGATCTGTGCCCTTTAGAGATTTAAATCCCACTTTGAATAGGATGAAAAGAACAACTGAACCACTCTATATGTGAAGACAAATAGGTTTTTTTGTGTGTTTTTTTTGTTTTTGTTTTACACCTTTGTAAACCAATGCCTTCTGTTGAAAACTTGACAAACACAGAACCCTACAAAACAATTCTAATACAGAAAAATTCCAATTTGTTTGTAAAGGAAACAAAATCAAGTAAGACTCTCTGATCTCCAAGATCTTGAGAAATCAAATCTATCTGAACTTTACACAACTTTTTCATGTGTATTTCTTTCCTTTTTATGTTCTTATTAGTGCATTTTAAGTATATGCAGTAGTGGGGCTCATTGTGACACTTGCATAAAAGCACATGATATAATTTGCTCTGATATAATTCCTGGTCCTTACTATCAGTTGTCCAAGAAGTAGTAGGCTTCTGGCTTTCTTGGCTGATGAATAGGTGTTATCTATATCTTTTTCTGTCTCTCTCTCTCTGATAAGATTATATCAATTCAAGGACCATTTAAACACAGATAAAACATATAGTTTTCCCTTCATGCAAGTCATTCTGGTTTCAAGAGAAGATGGTGGCATCATCTGTGTGCCCTAGTTCTGGAGATAGAAAAGGAAAGTGGAAACTCTCAGTATCACTGCCTTATTTTCTAAAGGTAGTTGAAAAAGGGAAAAAAAATGGAGTCTGACTGCCTGTATGAATTAGGTAACATTTCATGCAATTTTTTGAACCTCAATTTCTTATCTGGGCTAGCAGTTATCTCTTAATACAAAGGGTGTAGTGAATATATGATACACTCTTACATGTTATATATTCATTTATTGTTTCTATTGTGGTGAAGAGAATATTCCTGATGCTCTTATTTATTCCTTCCTATGAACATGGCCAAGCATGGCAAAAATAAGACTGCCTTCTTCCTTTGTTATTAATTTATATATAGTAAAAACTAATGTACCTTGAAGGAGCTGTGGGAGCTATTCGAATCCCTCTGCCTCTGATACCTCTGCCACGACCAGAGTCTTCTGAGCCATTTAAATAAGATAATTCACGTAACTGTTCCTGACGAATTTCATCATTGTAGTCCTAGAAGAAAAAATATACTTGATGAGTTATGGGACATGGGGATTTTAAAGTTAACAAACAAACAAACAAACAAACAAACAAACAAACACAAGAAGAAGAAAAAAATTCACATTTTTTTTCTGGAGTCTTATATAAAATATCTAAGATGATATAAAAAAGGTACATATTTTAAATTCTTATTATTATATGAAGAAATTGAAGTTGCTTCTTTTATCAAGAAAGTACTCTGTAGGACATAGATATCACTTCAGGTGAAGGGCTGGAAAAGGGACGGTAGTAACACAGAACACGAACTGGAAATGTATTTTGGTTATGATTGTCAACATGAGGATTGCCAGAATTTCATTTGAACAACTGTGTGTAGATTATGAATGACTGCCTGACATTCAAATAGCTCCTGATAGGTAAACCAGAAGGGGTCAATCCTAAGGCCTAGTATAGATGCACTATGTGTGTGTGTGTGTGTGTGTATGTGTGTGTGTGTATGTGTGTGTGTGTATGTGTGTGTGTGTATCATACAAATATGAAATTATATGATCTATCTTCTCACAAGTGGGAAGCTAATGTGGTGAAGTCCCATCCAACAACCTGATAAGCAACATTTAAAAACAAGGAATTTCCTATGTTGTTTAGCATTGGGCTAATGTACAGTGAGAACCATAGTAGAAGGCAAATTTCAGAGTTACAGCTAAAGATTAAGTCAAGGTCAAAGGGATTGTCTTTCTCCTTCATCAGTTCAGAAATGTGTCAGTCATTTGATTCAAGAGTGCACCAGTTTGGAGATTCTTCAGAAAACTTGGAATAGAACCACCATTTGACTCAGTTATCTGATTCTTTGGTATATACCCAAGGACTTAAAAACAGCCTACTACAGTGATGCAGCCACATCAATGTTAATAGATGCTCAATTCACAATAGATAAGCTATGGAATCAACCTAGGTGCTCTTCAGCAGATGAACAGATAAAGAAAATGTGGTATATAAATACAATAGAATATTACTAAGCCATAAAAAGACTCACTTTATGGCATTTGATGGAAAATGGATGGATCTGCAGACTATGATGCTAAGTGAAATAAGCCAATCCCTCCAAAACCAAAGGTCAAATTTCAAATGTTCTCTCTGATATGCGAATGCTAATAAACAACAAGGAGAAGGGAGTTCAGTAGATTAGATAAAGGAGAGTGAAGGGAATGGGGAGGGGGAAGAAAATAGGAGAGGCAATGAAATGATTCTGACTTAACTTTCATATGTACATATATAAATACACCACAGTGAATTTCTACATCACGTACAACCACAAGACTGGGATGATAATTAGATTAAGATGTATTCCATATTTATATAAATGTGTCAAATTATACTCTACTATCATGCTTAACTAAAAATAATAAATAAATAAATAAATAAATAAATAAATAAATAAATAAATAAATAAAAGAGTGGACCTGAGTCATTACAAATGAATGCTACCATAAAGTACCAGTCTTATCTATTTCTACACACACACACACACCCCTGGTTAAACAACACAAAATTGAATAATGGGTTATTTGTGCCAAATGGCCAATCTGATCTATTATTTTTCTCTACACATATGTTTTAGTGAATTCAATCTAGTGGATTTTGTACTGGCAGAGAAGGGTCTAGGAGATGAGAATAGAACTATCCTCAGAAGATGAGCATACTTGTGGGACAAAAAGTCACATGTATTATCTGCAGTAAACAATACCTATTTAGCTCTGCATATAATGTGTGTATGTTTTATATAAAGTTAAGACTAGGCAAGTAAACCACACAGCTCTGTGTAGAAACTTGCAGTGATGCACTTAGCTTGCAAAAAAAGCCCTCTAATGCACAGCTTTACCTCATGCTCCAGAAACTGCACTGATTACAAGCAAAAGTGATAATCACTCCAAAGCATTTATATTCTTATTTTAAACATGTCCCTTTCGTGTTTATCCTCTACAGAACCTGATTATAGCTGTAATAGCCTCAACACAGCTGACAGAAGAGCCATACAGTAGAAAATTACAGATTCTAACAGGTCAAATATTGTTCAATTTCTACCTCCTAATTTTCACATTTAAGCATCAACTAAAGTGAAGAATAAACATGTATTATTTTATTAGGATCAGGAATGCAATGAATTGCTATTCCGGAGTGAACTGACCAGTCACCATCAAAATGAAACACCAATCCAATAATCTTCATATGTAATATTATTGATGTTATAGGAGACATTTGTAGCTTCCTTTCTGAGGAAAACCCACATCCATTCAGGGTCCTTACGAAATATAAAGAGCGAGATTGACATTGTTGACCATACTGAGGGCTGAGATACACACGAACAAATTACGCCTGAATTAAGTATATGTAAATGTGTACTTTAGAGCATAAATATTTTTACGTTAAAATTCTGAAGATATCAGAATATAGATGTGGTCTCTTTCATTATACAATCATAAATTAGATGAAGGAGGAGGAAAATAAAAAGCAAGAGGACAATGGGGACAAGGAAAAGGAGAAAGAAGTAGAGGACAAGGAGAAGGAAGAGCAACATAGTAATTGGACAGTGATAGAACAATTTCCAACTTGTTCAGGGATTCCTGCAGCCAATCCCCTAGAGAGTTCTCACCACCACACTGACTCTGGGATTGGTCATGTGATTTGTTCTCGCTAATATAGCAATTAAAAAAAAATGACAAAAGCAGAGACTGTAAAAGTACTCATTGATGGAAAAATCACTGGAAATCTTTATGCCACCAGGTGAAGAAGTCTAGGCTCTATTTCTGCAGGTAAGAGACCCTGTGAAGAGAGTGCACAGTCGTCCTTGCTTTCCCTGCATTCTAATCTGAGTCCTGGAACAGGAGTGAGGGCCTTCTAGACCATCTAGTCCCAGTCAAGCTGGAGGAGACAAATAATCACCTAGCAAGCCAAGAACCAGGAGAAACAGATGACAAATAATGCTCTAAACCATTAAGTATTGTGGTGCTTTCAGAAAAAAGTACCGAATACAGAGAGGACTAGAGGGTATGGTGCTTGAGAGACATACAAAAAAGGCATTCTCAAAGCAGTCAGCTTCTGGCCCTGTCAGAGGGGAGGATTTGGACCTCGATGTTATCTGCATGTTTCTTAGAGTAGATAGCCTTACTTGGAAGTCAGTATGTCTGAAGGCTATGGGGCCTTGTATCATAATAGTATGAATTGCTCATAAGTCTCTTTGTTCAGAGTTTATGCTCACCAATCCAACCTCATAGAATTCAGCTCCTAGATTTCTGACTAGGATATGAATATGAATACTTGACACTGAAGATTAACTCTTAATGTAAGTAAAATCATTATCATCTATATAGTTAGACTTTTATATGCGTTTAGATAGAAACACTTTAAGAGTTGATTCATGACAGATTAGTGGTGGACAAGAGAACAAAGACCAGAAACTGCATGTGTAATTGTCCAAGAAGCCTAGGTGCTACATTCTGCAATCCTGTTCCCAAACAGGACTTCCCTCAGCTGATGACAAAATGTGTTTGGATGCAAAGATGGGTCTATTCTTGGAAACTCAAGACTTTCCTCCATGCCCCAGAGATCCCTGAGTTTCAGCAATGCTGAACTATCTTTTAATTTCATTGCACCAAGAAATGTACTAGAAGTTTCCCAACTCTCTATCCTTAGGGTCAGGACATTGTGGTAGCAGGGCTCTCTAGCCTTCCTTGGCTTTTCAAAAAAAAAAAAACAAAACATTTTTTTTTTTTAATGAGAGCATCTTCCCTAATATAATTCTGATGTGTCCAATCCCATTTGTCATCTGCTTCTTAGAAGACCCAAATTAACATAGGGTGCTTACAACATCAAATTCCTAAGTTTACAAAGTTGAGAGCTTTGATAAGCTCATTTATGGTAATGCTAGTGAATTCAATATTTTTTTTGCATTCAACATCCCATGTACTATGACGACATTGGTCTATTTGCTGTTCTCCTACTTAAAAATGGTTATAGATAACTTGAATATTAATGATTGCCAAAAAAGGAAATGATCCGTGTTTTTGGCAAATTTTCCAATATTTTCCCAACATTTCACTTAATTAGAACATAGGAAAGACTCACAGAAGTGGGTAAAAATAAACCACAATTTGAGTCAGAGATTAGAACAATTTGATTGGCACAGAGGAAGTGTGACAGCAATGCACAAATGATTGTATGTGTGGTAGCGTGTGTGAGACAGAATATGAGCAACCACAAGTAGTTTAGGAGTGTGGTAATAGGAACAGATCCAAATTTTCTGTAATGTCCAAAATCTTTGCTTTTTTGGTTACCAAAATCACTTTCCCAATCTTACTACTTGAAATAATAACAAAGATATTCACAATATTTTTTATAAGTTGATTTTGCCTGTGGTGAGATAAATTCATCCCATGAAATGATTTCCATGAAATTCATGAGCACTGCTATTTTACTTCTGACAGGGCCCTCCCACTGTGACGGCATATGGTATAAACAGCATACACAAAAGCTCAGAGCAGACAGATGTTTGGATGTTCCTAGAAAGGACGTATGCTCACAGTCCACATATTTAATGTATATGCATAATTTCCCAGTTATGTACAGTCCCGTCCATCTGTCATGATGGCATTTTGCCCAAATACAAATTGAGAAGATTATTTCACTTGCTTTCAGGTGCCAGGTAATGACAGGTGTAGATAGGCTACCTAGGGGCACAGTCAGGGACCATTTTCCTGCCAAATACCCTCTGCTGAGATACCAGTGGGCACTGGTGCCACACATTTAAAACTGTGATTATAACCACCGGTAACATGTGAATGTAGCTTCTGTTCTGCCAATGCCAAGACTGTCAGACGACATTGGGGGAAGTGAAAATGTAGCCTGTAATCTTTCTGGGCCATGACAAAGACACTTGAGATTTCTTGGCTGCCTGTAATAGTCAGGTTAGGACATTTGACCAGAGTAATGATCAAGAAAGTATGGGTCCAGCATCA